TTGGTGGGAGAAAAATGGAAGTTATTGTGAGGTTACAACTTTTCCATATTTGAAAAATATTTGTGAGCTATGCTCAAATTGGGATATGTCATCCGTCAGTCAACATCCATTTGCTGAGGTCCTACTATGGGCCATGACCTGGGTGGACACAGGGGATACTGAGGTAAATGGCAGAGCCCTGCTTTCCACACCATTTTCCATATGTGTATCTCCCTTGGGTAAAAGTATTCATACTTACATAATCTCTCAATATTTTTACAACCAGAGTGATATCAACAGCATGGTGACATAAATATCCCTTTTTTCTCTCCCCTTCCACAAATTGACTTACAATTAATTGAACATCCATAACCAAACAAAAACCCCTCTGCAGATAAGACTAAGACACCCAAGACACCCATCCATTTGTGCATCCAGAGGTGGGTGGATGGGACCATGAAGGAGGCTGTGCAGTCAAGGCTGTGGCCGCGCCGGAGGTATGGATCAAAGACTTAAACATAAAACCTGATACCATAAAACTCCTAGAAGGAAATGTAGGGAAGGAGCTCATTGATATGGTCTTGTCAATGGTTTTTGTTAATTATATTCTTTTATTGATTTCAGAGAGGAAGGGAGAGTGATAAACATCAATAATGAGAGAGAATCATCGATCAGCTACCTCCTGCATGCCCTGCACTGGGGACTGAGCCCATAACATGGGCATGTGCCCAGGACTGGAATCAAACCTGGAACCCTCCAGTCCACAGGCTGATGCTCTATCCACTTAGCCAAACCAGCTGAGGCTGTCAATGATTTTTTTTGACATGATATCTATAGCACAAACAAAAGCAAAAATCAACAAATGGGACTATATCAAACTCAAAAGCTTCTGCAGGACAAAAGAAATGATTAACAAAATGAAAAGGCAATCTACAGAACAGGAAATTTTTGCAAACCATATATCATATGAGTTATTATTATAAATATATGAATAACTCACATAACTTAATGACAACAACAACAACAATAAAAGCCACAATTTGATTAAGAAGTGGACAGAACTCAAAAAGACTTTTCTTTTTCCCAAAGAGGACATCAAAATGGCCAATAGGCACATAGATATTCAACATCAGTAATCAGGGAAATCAAATCAAATCAAAACCATAGCTGGAATTGCTATTTTCAAAATAAGAGGTAGCATGTGTTGGAAAGGATGTGGACAACAGGAAACCCTTATACACTGCTGGTGGGACTGTAAACTGGTGTGGCCACTTTGGAAAACCATATAAGGGTTCTCAAAAAATTAAAAATAGGATTACCATATGACCCAGAGACCCCACTTCTGGGTAAAAGGAAATAAAAACAGGATTTCAATGAGCTATATATTCTCTGTATTTATCACAGCATTATTCACAAATAGCCAAGATGCCATCAATAGATGAATGGTTAAGAAGCTATCACCCATATGAACGCATGCGCGCGCGCACACACACATGCTGGAACTTTATTTAGTCACGAGAAAGGAGGATATACTGCCATAAGTGACAATATGGGTGGACCTTGAGGGCGTTATGCTAAGGGAGACACACCAGAGAAAGATAAGAATCGCCTGGTCTCACTTATACATGGAAGCTAAAGAAGTGAAAGCTGTAAAAGAGTAAAATGGTGGTTACCCGGGGATGGAGGTGGGAGATAACACTAATGTCTTTTAAGGGTACAAACTTACAAGGAGTCATAAGCCACAGAGACCTAACACATAGTATAACACAGACAACCATATTGTACAGTAAATCCTCACTTAATGTCACAAATAGATTTTGTGGCTTTAGGAGTCACCCCACAAGGAAACCAATTTTACCACAGGCTAACTGATCTAAACACGAGTACCCTGAGTTCTGAGGCACCTTACCACCTTTACAAACAAACTACATTCAATCAAATGTCATTCTCAATGTCATTTGCTGTTGTGTAATGTGATAAATATCCCTACAACTTGGCAATCCTGTCACAATACATGAATGTATGAAAGTAACACCCTGTACCGCTTAAATTTACACACTGCTGCATGTCACAATGTATTCAATTGCAGAAAAAGATGAAAGGACACGAGTGAGCATGCTTTGATGCTCTATTCTATGCCTTTAAAAATATTAAGTTGGATAAACAAAACAGGTCCAGAGTCATGGACACATGGAACAAAATGACAAATTTAAGAGGAGAAGAGATTGACCACAGAACATATATGCCCATGTATACAGATAACAGTGTGGGAGTGGAATGGAGGGGGGCAGAAGGAGGGCAAAAAAGGACATTTGTAATACTGCCAATAAAAGTATACAAGGTGGGGCAAAAGTAAGTATACAGTTGTAAGTATGAGAAACAGCCTATTCTTGTCATTATTACTTATTATTTACTAGAGGCCCAAAGCATGAACTCATGCATGAAAGGGGCAATTAGGGCCAACTGGAACAGTAAGAGGTTGGCTGGTGGGGAGAGGGGTCACGGGAGTTTGGCTGGCTGCAGGAGGCTGGCTGTGGGAGCACACTGACCACCAGGGGGCAGCGCCTGCATTGAAGGGTCAGCCCCCTGGCGGTCAGTGCATGTCATAGCAAGCGGTCGTTTGATCATTGGGTCGCTTAGGCTTTTATATATATAAAAGGGTGGGTCTATGGGGGGAGCTAGGGCTTAAGGAAGTTCTCACACTTGAAGCAAAAACTCTGTTAATAATAAAGCTCTAAGTTCCACATTCGCCTTCCCTAAACTTCCTCTCCCTTCTATAAACACCCCTGCAACCTGCCATGCTGGAAGACTATGCACTGAGATGCAACTTTTTTTTTTTTTAAATCCTCACCCTGAGGATATTTTTCCATTGATTTTTTTAAGGAGAGTGGGAGAGAGAGGGACAGAGAAAAGCATCCATGTGAGAGGAACACTTCGATTGGTTGCCTCCTGCACAAGCCCTGACCAGGGCCCGAGCCAGGGAGGAGCCTGCAACTGAGGTATGCGCCCTTGACTGAAACTGAACCCGGGACCCTTTGTTCTGCAGCCTGACCCTCTATCCACTGAGCCAATGGTTGGTAAACTCATCAGAGCTAAATATCAACAGTACAACCTTTGAAATTTCTTTGGAGAGCCACATTTTTTTTTTAAATATATTTTTTTGATTTTGTACAGAGAAGAAGGGAGAGAGATAGTTAGAAACATCGATGAGAGAGAGTCATCGATCAGCTGCCTCTTGCACACCCCCTACTGGAGATATGCCCGCAACCAAGGTACATGCCTTTGGCCGGAATCGAACCCGGGACCCTTCAGTCCCCAAGCCGACGCTCTATCCATTGAGCCAAACCGGTCTCAGCAGAGAGCCACATTTTTTTAACTTAAAATTCTTCTAACGCCGCTTCTTCCAAATAGACTCACCAGGGCCATGGTATTTTATGGAGGAGCCACACTCAAGGGGCCCAAGAGCCACATGTGGCTCTCAAGCCACGGTTTGCTGACCACGGGGCTAGGGCAAGATGCACCCTTTCCCTCTCACAGAATAAATCCTCTTTTCTTGTTAATACTCACCTTTTCTTGTTAATCCAATGAAAAGAGGATACTTTTTTCATTGATTCTGAGAGAGAGTGGAAGGGGGTCGAGGGGAAGGCGCTGGACATTAACATCCACGTGTCCGGCCCTGACTGGGGCCGGCATCACGTCCATGCCCTTGACCAGAACCGAACCCACGACCCTGCAGCCGCCGGGCTGACGCTCTAACCACGGAGAAAAACCGGCGAGAACCAGAATAGACCCTTCTTGTTGCAGAAACACCTAATGGATACTACTTTTCCGTCCACCTACCCGAGCACCTAAAATCACAGAGCCCCTGACTTCCGGCCAGGCAGAGGCGGTGACAGGGGAAGCGGTTCCGCTGCCCCCATCGCTGCCCACCCTCCCCCCGCCCCCTATGCCCTCCACCCTGTGCCTGGGCCGCCCCACAAGCCCACCGGAAGTTAGCGGGACCACCATGGCGGGATGACGGTCTTCCCCCGGGGACCCCCCTCAGCTGGTGAGGGCGGTGGTACTCACCCTTGAGGCTGCTGTGCTTCCTCACCAGCGAAGCCTGTGGGGCGTGTGGGGTGTGTGCGGAGGGGTCCCTGGCCCACGCACCCCATGCCCAGGCCTCTCTCAGAACAGACGCGGGCACAACAGATGCGCAGACGGAGCGCCTAGAAGATTCCAGAAGGCGCACGCAGCACGCTCTACGTACGCTGCTGACCGAGGTATCGCGCTGAGGCGACTGGCCAGCCAAGTGAGCGCTTGGGAGACAGCGTGCGTGCGTGCGTGCGTGCATGGGGAACGTACTTACGTACGTGGGAGCAGCGTGTGTTGTGATTGGTGTGTAGAAGACTGCGGGGGGGGGCGGGGGGCTGCGCGCGTGCCCCTGGAGGACGTCGTGCGCGAGGAGCAGCGTGCAGGGGAGCACGTGCCTGCAGACAGAGCGCACGCACAGATCCCTGGAGGCGCACGCTGCACGCACAGCGCGCTCTGGACTCCCAGCGTGAGCATGCGTGGAAGGGGGGTGCGCATGCGCAGAGCGGGGTGGGAGGCTTGGTGACCTCTGCTCGCCTGCAGGAGACCATGCGTCCTACTTTTGCTGCCCGCGCAGACTTGGCTCAAGTGCACTGGAAGAACTCTGTATACCGCTTCCTATTTTGCTGTTTCCAAAAAAATGAAATGTCTCGCGCAGGACTTCAAAGGAGAAGAGCCAGACCTTGGGGTGGGCGGAGCCGTCGCCACACACCCCGGGTCTATGGGGAAGATGTTGTCATTGAGGGCTTCTGGCTTCCTGAGTGGGTTGCGAGAAGGAAACTGCACACCAGGTGATGTGCAGAACCGGAGGGTCGTAACGGTACGTCTCCCCACACATCCTGGGGTCGGCTCGCTGGGCAGCTGGAGAGCTTGGGTCATCCCAAGCTCCCCCTTCTTTCTTTTAACTGCAAAACTGAAGCCGGGATCCTGGTCTGGGCGGAAGGGACGCTATGATCACAGGATTCCTGTCTCTGCTTTGCCTCGGTGAGTATCCAGGACCGGGAGGGATAGCGTTGGATCTGTGAGAAAATTCTTGGTGGAGAGAGGGGAGGACGGGGCATCATGGGAAACATGGCAAACACAGAAATGATTGATGACATCTGCGTGTTGGATACAGGCCAGCCGTCGGAGTTCTGTGGGCTGTGCACATGCCTGCATTCTAATATTAGCACAAGCCGATGAGGAACCCAAGGCTCAGAGTCCGTGGCGACCACGCCCTCTGTTTAGCCAGCTGAGAAATTCCACGCTCGGATGGGATCTCCAAACATGGACCCTCTAAACACCGCAGTCTTGCCATGAATGTTCCATTGGCGGATAGCGGGGCAGGGTCCACAGAATGTGAGAAGCAATGGGTTTGGGTACAAAACAGAACTAGAGGGAAGAACAATGCCTAGGGATGGTGCTTAAAAAGAAAATTTCTGCCCTAGCTGGCTAGGCTCAGTGGATAGAGAGTTGGCCTGCAGACTGAAGGGTCCCCCGGGCTTGACTCAGGTCAAGGGCAGGTCACATTAGTTGCAGGCTCCTCCCTTGCCTGGGCCCTGGTCCGGGCTTGTGAAGGGGACAATCAGTCCATGTGTTTCTCTCACATCGATGTTTCTCTCTATCTTTCCTTCTCTCTCTAAAAATTAATGGGAAAATATCCTCAGGTGGGGATTAACAAAAATTTTTTTTAAAAAAAGTAAACAAAGAAGAAAACTTCCTATTCTCGGCCTGGTTTTAATTGTCTTCCACTTGAGCATAATGCAAACAGACCACAGCCTGCAAATCGAAAGACCTGGATGATAACCTTGAGTTGGGCTCTCAACTTTGAACCGATAGCTCCACCACCGATAGCCCCAGCTCCTCCAGGGTGAGCTGGGTGTGTGGAGGAGGATACTTATCTGCCCCAGTTCCTTCCTCCTTCTGGGTACAGCCCTTCCCTGTGGGGTAATCTTCTCCCCCACCCACTTGAACTTCAGAGGCGGCTTTAGACACCATTCCCTGGACCTCCAGCTGCGGGACAGAATAGCTGGGCAGACAAGAGACTGACCTCACCCTCCCCATTTTCAGTTCCTGTACCACAAACTCTCTCCGTGTGGTGGAAGGAGAAAACTCTTTCTGACATGCCATGATCAGTTAACCATTGCAGCATGAAAGTGGTAAGGATAAACATTGCAACCCAAGAAAATCATAGGTCAGGGTACAAGGATTTAAGAATCAAGTATTTGCCGAAACCGGTTTGGCTCAATGGATAGAGCGTCGGCTTGGGGACTGAAGGGTCCCGGGTTCGATTCCGGACAAGGGCATGTACCTTGGTTGCTGGCATATCCCCAGTAGGGGGTGTGCAAAGAGGCAGCTGATCGATGACTCTCTCTCATCGATGTTTCTAACTATCTCTCTCCCTTCCTCTCTGTACAAAATCAATAAAATATATTTTAAAAAAAGAATCAAAGATTTCTAGGTGACAAAAGAAGTCCTCATCATAAAAGCTTTGTTACAATCTCCAATGCAATCAATCTGAAAGCGTTCCTAGAAGGCTCTCCAGAAACATAACTTCTGTTGAAGGACAAAGAATGGGATAAGAATTAAAGTTAAAAACAAACAAACAAAAAATGCACAGGGAAATATTTGGAAGAAACACAGAGGATGTTTAACAAATTAGTCAAACCTGGCTGGCTTGGCTCAGTGGTTGAGCATCAATCTATAAACTAATAAATCACAGTTCAATTCCTGGTCAGGGCACAAGCTTGATCTCCAGTGGAGGGCATATAGGAAGCAGCTGATCAATGATTCTCTCTCATTGATGTTTCTACTCTCCCTTCCTCTCTGAAATTAATAAATATACATGTGTTTTTTTTTTAATTAGCCAAGCATCTGCCTCATTTGTACTTCAAGACAAGCACATCATGTGTCTCTCATGAGGTTTTCTCTTCCAGGGCTCTGTCTGGGCTATGATGATGAGCACAAGAATGGTGAGTTGTCTTTCACATAAACTCTGTTTTTATATCCCAAGTCCCATGATTTAAAAAAAAAAAATATTTTCAAGTACTGTTGACATACAATATTACATTAGTTTCAGGTGTACAGTATAGTGATTAGACATTTATATACCTTACTAGAGACCCGGTGCATGAAATTCATGCATGGGCAGGGGTAGTCCCTCTGCCCAGCCTGCACCCTCTCCAATCTGGGACCCCTTAGGGGATGTCCAAATGCTGCAGAGATCAGGCCTAAACTGGAAGTCGGACATTCCTCTCACAATCTGGGACTGCTGGCTCCTAACCACTCACCAGCCTGCCTGCCTGATTGCCCCTAACTGGCCCCCCCATCCCACTGGTCTGATCGCCCCTAACTGCTCTCCCCTGCTAGCCTGATCGCCCCTAACCACCTTGGCCCCTGCCACCATGGCTTTGTCCGGAAGGAAGGCAGGATGACCGAAAGATGTCTGGTTGACCTGATCTAATTAGCATATTGCCCTTTTATTATATGAATAGACGAAATGACACCCCCCCCCCCATAAGTCTAGTACCCACCTGGCACCATACACAGTTTTTACAATATTACTGACTATATTCCCTGTGCTGCACTCTGCATCCCAGGGACTGGTGTGTGACTGCCAATTTGTACTTTTTAAAAATATATATATATATTATTGATTTTTTACAGAGAGGAAGAGAGAGGGATAGAGAGAAACATCAATGAGAGAGAATCATCGATCAGCTGCCTCCTGCGCACCCCCTCCTGGGGATATGCCCGCAACCAAGGTACATGCCCTTGACCGGAATTGAACTGGGGACCCTTTAGTCCGCAGACCGACGCTCCATCCATTGAGCCAAACCGGTTTTGGCCAATTTGTACTTCTTAATACCTTCATCTTTTTCATCCAGTCCCCCAACACCTTCCCCTCTGACAGCTGTCAGTCTATTCTCTGAATCTATGAGTTTGTTTCTCTTTTGTTCATTTATTTTGTCTTTAGATTCTACATGTAAGTGAAATCGTATGGCATTTGTCTTTGTCTACTTATTTCACTTAGCATCATACCCTCCAGGTCCACCCATGTTGTTGCAAATGGTAAGTTTTCATTCTTTTTCTTATGGCTGAGTCATATGACCTTTTCCCTTTAATCCTCTGAATTCTAAGAGATTGTTCATGGTCATCAAGATAGAGTCAAGCCCTGGTGTGGCTCCATTAATTGTATGTCATCCTGTATATCAAAGACTTGCTGATTCAATCCCCAGTCAGGCACCTGCCCTAGTTATGGGCTCGATCCCCAGTGGGGAGTGTGCAGGAGGCAACTGATCGATCTACTACTCTCACATTGATGTTTCTCTCCTCCCTCTAAGAATTAATGATCTATTCTTAAAAAAAAAAAAAAAATGATAGAGTTGCCTTAACTGGTTTGGTTCTGTGGATAGAGCATCGGCCTGTGGACTAAAAGGTCCCGGGTTCGATTCCGGTCAAGGATGTGTATCTTGGTTGCAGGCACATCCCCAGTGAGGGGTGTGCAGGAGGGAGCTGATTGATGTTTCTCTCTCATCGATGTTTTTAACTTTTTTCATTTCCCTTCCTCCCTGTGAAAAACAAATAAATTATATATTTTTAAAAATATGATAGTCAAGTAAAATATGATTGTCTAGTCACACGCAGTACACCTGAAACTAATCTAGCATATTGAATGTAAACTGCAATTGAAAGATAAAATTAAAATTAAAAAGATAAACAATCTACCTAACTCTGAATTCCTTCCAGACACCCTCCCCAGACCCTCCCTCCACGCCTTGCCGGGATCAGTGGTCGGACCCGGCGGTAACGTGACCCTGAAGTGCCAGGGTCCCTTGCAGAACGTGACGTTCATGCTGGGGAAGTGGCAGGCCCCGGGGTACAGGCAGGAGCAGAGCTCAGCGGGACACGGTGCCGAATTCCTCCTCACGCACCTGGGGCCCGAGCACGCCGGGAGGTACTTCTGTGCCTACAAGACCGCGGGCTCCCACGCGTGGTCAGAGCAGAGCGAGCACCTGCACCTGGAGGTCACAGGTGAGCAGGCAGCCTGGGCTCTTCTCCCTGGAGCACATGCTCCCTGTCCTGTGAGGGGACCCGGCAGGGAAGAAGGAATCCGGGAAACAGACAGACAGGTGCCGCACCCCGAGTGTGGGGAAATGGGGACATGGGAACTGAGTGTGGGGACGAGCCTGTCATCAATGATGTGGATGTGGGACAGTGTGTGTTTATTTTTAATTTTTAGTTATTTTTTAAAAAATATATTTATACTAGAGGCCCGATGCACATATTTGTGCAAGACTAGGCCTTCCTTCCCCCAGCTGCCAGCACCAGCTTCCCTCTGGCACCCGGGACCTTGGCTCCCCTTCCAGCCCTGGCTTCATCTAAAACAGCAGTTTTAGATGAGAGTCGTGGCCCCTTTGGGGGTCGAACCACCCTTTCACAGGGGTCACTCAAGACCATCGGAAAACACAGATATTTCCATCATGATCCATAACAGTAGCAAAATTACAGTGATGAAGTAGCAACGAAAATAATGTTATGGTTGGGGATCACCACAACAGGAGGAACTGTATTAAAGGGTCACGGCCTTAGGAAGGTTGAGAACCACTGGTCTAGAAGGACACCCGGTCTAATTGGCATGTTTCTCTCTGATTTCAGAGAGAAAAGGAGAGAGAAAAAGAGATAGAAACATCAATGATGAGAGAGAATCGTCAATTGGCTGTCTCCTGCGCACCCCCACTGGGATTGAGCCCACAACCTGGCCACATGCCCCTCCCGGGAATCAAACCATGACCTTCTAGTTCATAGGTTGATCTTCAACCATTGAGCCATGCTGGCCGGGCCAGGGTCTGCCTTCTCTCGTTGTCCTTGCAAAGATTAGCCCCGAACGCTGACTTTCAAATAGGTCTCTGAGCTGCTTTATCCCCAGGTCCTGTCCTCCTCCAGTTTCCAAGGGTCTGTGAGAAAATCGCCTCTTTATGAGTAGCTATAATATTAAACAACTGTAATTCCATTTCTCTTACATGTCCCCCACCCCCAATCAGGATCACTCCTAAACTCTTCCCTCATCATCATAGAGCCTGGAGTGACTCCAGGTCACAGTATGGCACTCTGATCCTATAGACAGAACTGAAAATGTATTATTTTTGCTCTGATAAATATGGGAATCCCAGAGCCATGATACATTGAAAAAGGAATTTTAAAAATCCAACTAAGCATCATGGCGGCAAAAGACATCCCTTGTGTTTGTCCCTCCCTTCAACAACAGAAATTCAGCATCCATCTACAAACAGACGTGTTTCCCATGCACCAAAGGGTTGCCGGTTCAATTCCCTTGCCTGGATTGTGGGCTCAATCCCGGGTAAGGGTGTGCAGGAGGCAGCTGATCGATGTTGTACTCTCATATCGATGTTTCTCTCCTTCTCCCTCTAAGAATCAGTGAGCTATTCTTTAAAAAAAAAAAAAAAATTAAAGAGTCAAGTAAAATATATGATTGTCTAGCCCAGTGGTCGGCAAACTCATTAGTCAACAGAGCCAAATATCAACAGCACAGCAATTGAAATTTCTTTGGAGAGCCACATTTTTTAAACTTAAACTTCTTCTAAGAGCCACACTCAAGGGGCCAAAGAGCCGCATGTGGCTCACGAGCCACAGTTTGCCGACCATGGGTCTAGCCACATGTTGTTCACCTAATCTGAAACTAATTTAACATATTGAATATAAACTGTAGTTGAAAAATAAAATTAAAACGATAAACAGTCTACCTAACCCTGAATTCCTTCCAGACACCCTCCCCAGACCCTCCCTCCACGCCTTGCCGGGATCAGTGGTCGGACCCGGCGGTAACGTGACCCTGAAATGCCAGGGTCCCTTGCAGAATGCGACGTTCATGCTGGGGAAGTGGCAGGCCCCGGGGTACAGGCAGGAGCAGAGCTCAGCGGGACACGGTGCCGAATTCCTCCTCACGCACCTGGGGCCCGAGCACGCCGGGAGGTACTTCTGTGCCTACAAGACCGCGGGCTCCCACACGTGGTCAGAGCAGAGCGAGCACCTGCACCTGGAGGTCACAGGTGAGCAGCCAGCCTGGGCTCTTCTCCCTGGAGCACATGCTCCCTGTCCTGTGAGGGGACCCGGCAGGGAAGAAGGAATCCGGGAAACAGATAGATAGGTGCCACACCCCGAGTGTGGGGAAATGGGGACATGGGAACTGAGTGTGGGGATGAGCCTGTCATCTGGGCTCCTGAGTAGGTCTCAATGATGTGGATGTGGGGCAGTGTTTTGTTTATTGTTTAAAGATTTAGTTATTAATTTTGAGAGAGAGAGAGAGAGAGAGAGGGGGAGAAACATTGATTTGTTTTTCCAGGTATTTATGCATTCACTGGTTTATTCTTTTGTTTTTGTATTTTACTCTCTATTTTTAAAGAATAGTTTATTCTTGCCCTGACTGCTTTGGCTCAGTGTATAGAGCGTCGGCCTGCAGACTCAAGGGTCCCAGGTTCTATTCCAGTCAAGGGGCATGTACCTTGGTTGCAGGCACATCCCCAGTGGGGGGGGGGGTGCAGGAGGTAGCTGATCAATGTTTCTCTCTCATTGATGTTTCTGACTTCTATCCCTCTCCCTTCCTCTCTGTAAAAAAATCAAATATATATATATATATATATATATATATATATATTAAAAAGAATAGTTTATTCTTTAAAATATTAGAGAAAAGGAAGAGGGAGAGAGATAGAGAGAAACATCAGTGTGAGAGCTGCCTCCTGCATGCCCCCTACGAGAGATCAAGTCTATAACCCAGGCATGTGCCTTTGGCCAGGAATTGAACCAGCAACCTCTGGGTACATGGAACAAGGCCCAAGCAACTGAGCCACACCGGTCAGGGCCACTGGTTGGTTCTTGCATGTGCCCTGACTGGGGGAGCAAACGTGTAACCTTGGTGTACCCAGACGACGCTCTGATCAGCTGAGCTACCTGGCCAGGGCAGTGGAACGGTATTAAAGCATCCTGAAAATGAACATAATTGGAGGTATCAACACTCCCTAATTTTATTTTTTTCATTTTTTAAAAATATAGTTTTATCTCTTTCAGAGAGGAATGGAAAGGGAGGGAGAGATTGAAACATCAATGATGAGTTTCACTTGGTTACAGCATCATCCCGAAATGCCAAGGTTGTGGGTTCGATCCCCAGTCTGGGCACCCATGAATGCATAGATGGGTGAACAACAAGTCAGTGTTTTTGTTTTTTTTCTCTCTCTTTCTAAAAATCAATCAATTAAAATTGAAATAATCGTATCAAGCTCCAGGCGTATTAAGAGTAATACTGACCCTCATTCGGAGGCCCAGTGAGATTCTCTTCTCTGCCTTCCGGGCCTTTAGTAAAACATGAGCACTTACGCCCCCGAGATCGCCATGTCATCGCGATGACTGCGTTTTCTGCGTCCTGTTTTCTAGATAACCACGACAGACCTGGAGCTCCCTCAGCAAAAACAGGTAAGGTGATTACAGGTGTTTTTTACCGATGATATCCACCTCACGAGGCAGGGCACCCCTGTTCATTCTAAGGCACAAAGGGAACCTTAAGGCCCACTTTCTCATGCTTTGGGAGGAACTACTGCATTTGGGGGGAGATGACTTCTAAGCTGAAATCCTGGTGACTAAAAACATCACGAGGTGCATTTTCTGCCAACTACATAGATAAAAGCCTAAGCGACCATTACCGCCGGAGGACGGGACGGTAGCTATGACGCGCACTGACCACCAGGGGGCATATGTTCAACGCAGGAGCTGCCCCCTGGTGGTCAGTGCGCTCCCACAGCCAACCTCCCACGGCCGGCCAACCTCCCGGGGTCCCTGCCCCTGGCCTACCAGCCCTGATCGGCCCACATCACCGGCCAAGGCCAAGGAACCCCTCCTGTGCACAAATTCATGCACTGGGCCTCCATTCTTTCACAATGAAAAACTCTGGGTGAGTTTGTGTGACTGGTTTGAGGCCCGGGATCAGAATCCAAAGAGTTGAGGCATTTGGCGATATGTATGATCAATCAGTGGAACGGTATTAAAGCATCCTGAAAATGAACATAGTTGGAGGTATCAAATGAACATAGTTGGAGGTATCAACACTCCCTAATTTTATTTTTTTTCATTTTTTAAAAATATAGTTTTATCTCTTTCAGAGAGGAATGGAAAGGGAGGGAGAGATTGAAACATCAATGATGAGTTTCACTTGGTTACAGCATCATCCCGAAATGCCAAGGTTGTGGGTTCGATCCCCAGTCTGGGCACCCATGAATGCATAGATGGGTGAACAACAAGTCAGTGTTGTTGTTTTTTTTCTCTCTCTTTCTAAAAATCAATCAATTAAAATTGAAATAATCGTATCAAGCTCCAGGCGTATTAAGAGTAATACTGACCCTCATTCGGAGGCCCATAAGACTTTAAAGTTCTCAACAATAGGGGAATATTAAATTCTTTTTCTCTGATGTTGCTTTTTCCATGAAGAATTGCCTAAGGTTCTATCCTCAGGGATGCTTTGGGTAGTTTTATTGATGGATTAATTTTTAAAAATATATATTTTATTGATTTTTTTACAGAGAAGAAGGGAGAGAGAGAGAGAGCTAGAAACGTCAATGAGAGAGAAACATCGACCAGCTGCCTCCCTACCGGGGATGTGCCTGCAATCAATGTACATGCCCTTGACCGGAATCAAACCTGGGACCTTTTAGTCCGCAGACCGATGCTCTACCACTGAGCCAAACCGGTTTCAGCTGATGAATTAATTTTTAAAAAGCAAGGGAGAGGGAGAGAAGTGTCAATTTGGTGTTCAATTGATGTGTTCATTGGTTGATTCTTTTTTCTTTTCTTTTTTTTAAATACATTTTTATTGATTTCAAAGAGAAAGGGAGGGGGAGAGAAAGATAGAAACATCGCCGAAACCTGTTTGGCTCAGTGGATAGAGCCTCGGTCTGGGGACTGGGGGGGTCCCAGGTTTGATTCCGGTCAAGGGCATGTACATTGGTTGCGGGAACATCCCCAGTAGGGGGTGTGCAGGAGTCGGCTGGTCGATGATTCTCTTTCATCGACATTTCTAACTCTCTATCCCTCTCCCTTCCTCTCTGTAAAAAATCAATAAAATATATTAGAAAGAAAGAGAGAGAGAAGAGAAAGAAAGAAAGAAAGAAAGAAAGAAAGAAAGAAAGAAAGAAAGAAAGAAAGAAAGAAAGAAAGAAAGAAAAAGAAAGAAAGAAAAAAAGAAAGAAGGAAAGAAAGATTATGAGAGAAAATCATGGATCGGCTGCCTCCTGCACGCCTGCTACTGGGGATTGAACCCACAACCTGGGCATATGCCCTTTACCCGAATTAAACCTGGGACCCTTCAGTCCTCAGACTGGTGCTCTATCCACTGAGCCAAACAGGCTAGAACACATTAGTTGATTCTTGTATGTGCCCTGACCAGAGACTGAACCTACAACCTTGGAGTATGGGGATAATGCTCTAACCCAGTGGTCTGCAAATTGTGGCTTGTGAGTCACATGCGGCTCTTTGGCCCCTTGAGTGTGGCTCTTCCACAAAATACAAAATATGAGTCTATTTTGAATAAGTGGCATTAGAAGTAGTTTAAGTTTGAAAAACTTGGCTCCCAAAAGAAATTTCAATTGTTGTACTGTTGATATTTGGCTCTGTTGGCTAATGAGTTTGCCAATCACTGCCCTAACCAACTAAGCTATCTGGCCAGGTCGGTGCTACCAGAAACAGGGGTGTGCAAGTCCCAGTTCCTCCTTCAACTAAGTTCTGCCCACGAGTAGGCTTCCTGGGACGTGTGGTAAGTCTGTGTTTAACTGTTGGAGGACCTGCCAGGCTGTTTGCCAAAGTGGCTGGGCTGTTTTTATTCCCACCATATACGCGGTTCCCTCTACATTATCTCCACATCCTGGCCAACCTTCGCTAATTTCCTTTCCTTGGTTTCCTTGTATTATAGCCAGTGGGTGTGCATGTCACTTCTTCTTTTTTTTTTAATATATATATATATTTTTATTTTTTACAGAGAGGAAGAGAGAGAGATAGAGTTAGAAACATTGATGAGAGAGAAACATCGATCAGCTGCCTCCTGCACACCCCTCACTGGGGATGTGCCCACAACCAAGGTACCTGGGACCTTTCAGTCCACAGGCTGACGCTCTATCCACTGAGCCAAACTAGTTTCGGCTGCATGCCACTTCTTAGCGTGTACTTCCTGAGTTCATACTTAAACCACCACAATTCTTTTTTATTTTATTTTTCTATCTACACTAATAAAAGAGAAACATGCAAATTGACCATCACTCCACTACGCCCACCAGCAAATCAGAGCGAGTATGCAAATTAACCTAACAAAGATGGCAGTTAATTTGCATAAGCAGGCACAGCGCAAAGACTGAAGACAGTGTACAAGGAAGAGGAGGGAAAGCAGAAAGTGGGGCAGTGGCGGTGGGCTTCTCTCAGGCTGCAGGAAGCCCTATTCTTCCTGCAACGGGCCTCTAGTCTACAATAATGGGGGTTAGCATTTTATTGATTTACTGGTTTATCCTCACCCAAAGATATTTGCCCATTGATTTCTGGAGAAAGTGGGAGAGAGAGAGGGAAAGATAGAGAGCAACATCGATGTGAGACACACACATCAATTGGTTGCCTCCTGCACGAGCCCTAACCAGGGCCCGGGTCTGGGAGGAACCTGCAACCGAGGTACATGCCCCTGACCAGAATCAAACCTGGAACGCTTCAGTCTACAGGCTGATGCTCTATCCACCGAGCCACACCGGCCAGGGCTGAACCACCACAATTCTAAATGGAATAACAGATCTTTAAGCACAGATAAGATGCCCACAGCCTGGGTATGCCTGCCTGGAGGCTGCCCGAAGGGACTCTGCGCTCCCATCCTTGCAGACCGATAAGGAATTTCACCACGTCACTGGGACACAAGGCCAGCTTTCTCTCTCCCTCGGACCCGTCACTATCTTTCGGGTGCCTGAGTCACACTCTATCCCATCGCCCCCTCAGGTTCCTCCAGGCCAGCCGCGTAGAGACTCTGTCATTCACTTCAGCCGTTAATGCAATTCGACGACGAGGATGTGTGGACATCTCAGGGCAAACCCAGCTCATTGGGCTGCAGGGCCCCTGAGAGGGGGCAGTTTTGCAAGAATCTGCTTCTCGTTTCTAGCACGTTGCTCAGTGAGAGGAACTGCAGGCTGCAGGGGAGAAGAAAAAGGATAAGCAGGACCGATGTTTCTCTGCTTCCATCCAGGGCCCAGGAACAGCTGTTCCTGCTCATGTGCCTACAGCCACGCGGCTGTCCTGATAGAATCGTCGCTTTTGAGGGTCTCCTGGGTTCGATGCCACCAGAAGCAAACCCTTACATATGACGGCAACAGTGATATTGGGAGCAGGGAAGGGGGATTTGGAGGGAAAGAGGCAAAGCAACGGTGTCCGTCCCTCTGCTCAGTCCCACAAGAAAGCTTAGGAGACAGAAGGTCACAGGCACCAGAGGCCGGGGAGCGAGAATAGTCATTGCTAAAGGGGTGGCCTTGCCCTGGCTGGTATGGGTCCGTGGTTAGAGCACCAGCCCTCACACCGAAGGGCGTGATCAAGCACATGTACCTGGGTTGATTTCTGGTCAAGAGAACGTACCTGGGTTGCTGGTTCTATCCCTGGACCAGGTCGGGGCACATGCAGGAGGCCACGGATCGATGTGTCTCTCACATTGATGTTTCTCTCTCTTTCCCTTCCTCCCTTCCACTCTCTCTAAAAATTATTGGGAAAATATCCTCAGGTGAGGATTTAAGGGAGGGAGGGAGGAAGGGAGGAGAAAAGGAAAAGGAAAGGAGAAAGGAAGATGGAAAGGGAAAGGAGGGAGGAAGAAGGGAGGGAGGGACCTCTAGGCACATAAATGCCAAGGCATTTGGGATCCTTCCAGATGCAAATGTTCACGTAGGAAGGGGAAAGAGGCGTGATCTGTGGTGTGTGAAAATGGCAAACAGGCCGGGACCGGTTTGGCTCAGTGGATAGAGCATCGGCCTGCGGACTAAAAGGTCCCGGGTTCGATTCCGGTCAAGGGCACATACCTTGGTTGCGGGCACATCCCCAGTGGGGGGTGTGCAAGAGGCAGCTGATCGATGATTCTCTCTCATCGATGTTTCTAACTCTCTATCCCTCTCTCTTCCTCTCTGTGAAAAATCAATAAAATATATTTTTAAAAAAATGGCAAACAGTCGGGGAACATGGGTGAGGGAGCAACAACAGCATCTGTCACGGAGGGAGATGGGTGCAGGCGGGACCCTGGGTGGGACCCGCCATCATCCCGCAACGGCAGGCAGACCCCCCACTGGGTGCTGGAGCCAGCACTCGCCATGGCTCCCCTTCTCTCCACCTTAGCAGTCTTACCTCCCTCAGCTTTATGGAGGTATAACTGACAATAAAATGGTAGGATATTTAATGTGATGTAAGTATACGTTGTGAAAGGGTTTCCCCCATGGAACTCATGAACACATTTCTCACCTTGTATATTTTCTTCCTTTCCCCCCGCCCCCATCTTGGGTGAGAATGCTCAATACCTACTGTCTTTTTTATATATATATATATTTTTATTGATTTCAAAGAGGAAGGAAGAGATAGAGAGAGAAAAACATCCATGAGGAGAGAGAATCATGGATCGGCTGCCTCCTGCAAGTCCTCCACTGGGGATCGAGCCCACAACCCAGGCACGTGCCCTTGACCGGAATCAAATCTAGGATCTTTCAGTTCCCAGGCCAATGCTCTATCCACTGAGCCACACTGGCTAGGGCCTACTGTCTTAAAAGGGAGGTGGGGGAAGGTAGGAGAGGGTAAGGGGTGGTGAGTGGTGATGGAAGGAGGCTTGACTTGGGGTAGTGCATACACAATATAATATACCACACAGATGGTGTGCTGCAGAATTGTACACCAGAAACCTGTATCATCTTGTGAACCACTGTCACCCCAACGGTTGAGCGTTGACCTCTGAGCCAGGAGGTCACAGTTCGTCAGGCATATGGTTGCACAGAGATGATGTTTGAACTAAGTCTTGAACAGCACGAAGGAATGTCGGATGAGGTACAAGGAGAAGGGACGGGAGAGCAATTGCAGCCACAGAAAGTGTGGGTATAACGGTCCCAGTGGGGCACATGCCTGGGCTGTGGGCTTGATCCCCAGTAGGGGGCATGCAGGAGGCAGCCAATCAATGATACTTTCTCATCATTGATGTTTCTCTCTCTCTTTCCCTTCCTCTCTGAAATCAATAAAAATATATTTTAGCCATAGCTGGTTTGACTCGGTGGATAGAGCTTTGTCTGTGAACTAAAGGATCCTGGGTTTCATTCTGGTCAAGGGCACATGCCCGGGTGGCAGGCTCAATCCCCAGCAGGGGGCATGCAGGAGGCAGCCGATCCATGATTCTCATCGATGTCTCAATCTCTCTCTCCCTTTCCCTTCCTCTCTGAAATCAATAAAAATATTTTTAAAATATCCTATCTATAATAATAAAGAGGAGGATGCTAATTGACCCTCACACCGTTGCAAAGATGGCAGCACCAACAGCCAATAAGGAGGGAATATGCTAATTGACTGCCCCGCCTGCAAAGATGGTGGCACCCACAGCCACAAGATGGCAGCACCCAATCCCCCTCAATCCCACCAGATCGCCTGCCTTGAGTACCCCAGTCCCCTCCACCCCACTCCCCGACCCCAGCCACCCTGGGTGGGCCTGAGGCACAGGTAAGCCTCAGATGGCAGCTGCCAAGCTTCCCAGGGCTGCCCAAGGTTCAGGTAACCAGGGCTGCCCGAGGCTTGCGCTGCGGGCAGTGGCAGCAGCAGAGATGTGATGGGGACGTCGCCTCCCCCTGATCACGGGGTTGCCTCCCTCCCCTGAGGGCTCCCGGACTGCGAGGGGGCAGGCTGAGCTGAGGGACCCCCACTCCAGTGCATGAATTTTCATGCACTGGGCCTCTAGTCCTATCCAATAAAAGAGAAACATGCACATTGGCTGTACCTCCGCTATGCCCACAAGCCATGCCTGCCAGCCAATCAGGAGCGAGTACACAAATTAACCCAACGAAGATGGAAGTTAATTTGCATATCCAGGCACAGAGCGAAGGCTGAAGATGGTGTAGAAGGAAGCCAAGCGCTGCAGAAGGGAGCAAAGTTGCCGGGGAGCAAGCGGGTGGCGGAGAAGGGAGGGAAGCAGGCAGGGCGGTGAAGACAGCTGCAGGAAGCCCTGTTTGTTTGTTTTTTTAATATATTTTATTAATTTTACACAGAGAGGAATTGAGAGGGATAGAGAGTTAGAATTGAGAGTTAGAATTGAGAGGGACAGAGAGTTAGGACAGAGAGTTAGAAACATCGACCAGCTGCCTCCTGCACACCCCCTACTGGAGATGTGCCCGCAACCAAGGTACATGCCCTTGACCGGAATCGAACCCGGGACCCTTCGGTCTGCAGGCCGCCGCTCTATCCACTGAGCCAAACTGGTCTCGGCAGGAAGCCCTGTTCTTGCAAGAATCTTCCTGCACCGGGCCTCTAGTATATATATATGTATCACCTGGACTAAGTTAAAAGTACTGATAACATGCCCAGCCTTATTGGGGAAGCATGTTCCCAGGACGTGGCTCCGCCTATCGCCCGGAGTTCAAGCTGATGATAATTAAAGAAATGCCCAAGCGCCTTCCCAGGCGCTGTCTACACCTGCCTCCTCTTACCCGGTCTCCGAAACCGGCCCTGACCCGCTCCTGTCCCCCCAGACAGCAGGGTCATCTTCGTCACCGCCTTCAGCTGCCTCGCCATCTTCCTCCTCTTCCCCATGGTCTTCCTCATCTACCGGCGCAGTCAGAGTGGTGAGTCCACGGAAACGCCCGTTGAAACCGCTGGGGAAGGGGAGTAAAGGGGAGGAGTCGCTCATCAGATAATTTCCTCCCCCTCCCCCGTGTTTGTTTGTTTTTTTTAAACAGGCTCATCCCATGAGGAATCCACCAAGAGGTAGATGTACCTGCAAGTCGCACACTCCTTCCTTCAGAGACTCCACCACACAGACCCCATCGCTCATGCCCAGCCCCACCGCGTTCCCCCCTCGCAACTCCCTCTCCCGTCTCTGCCGCGACCTTCCTCCGTGCCTCTCCAACATCCTCGTCATCCCTCCCAAAATCTCCATAGCCTGTATTTTATTTATTTATCTTTTTTGTGAATCCTCACCCGAGGACATTTTCCCACTGATTTTTTAGGGAGAGTGGAAGAGAGAGGGAGAGACGGAGAGAAAACACTGATGTGAGAGAAATATATCAACCGATTGCCTCCTGCACGAGCCCTATCAGGGCCCCGGCCGGGGAGGAGCCTGCAACCAAGTACATGCCCTTGACTGGAATCAAACTCAGGACCTTTTGGTCTGCAGGCCGATGCTCTATCCACGGAGCCACACTGGCCAGGGCCATATCCCATACTTTATTATTTTTTTAAAATGTATTGATTTTTACAGAGAGGAAGGGAGAGGGATAGAGAGTTAGAAACATCGATGAGAGAGAAACATTGATCAGCTGCCTCCTGCACACCCTCCACTGGGGATGTGCCCACAACAACGATACAGGCCCTTGACCGGAATCGAACCTGGGACCCTTTAGTCCGCAGGCCGACGCTCTGTCCACTAGCCACACCGGTCAGGGCCATATCCCATACTTTAATGTATGTTTCTCTCTCTCTCTCTCTCTCTCTCTCTCTCTCTCTCTCTCTCTCTCTCTCTCAACTAGCCATCCCGAGCAAGAGGACTCAGGTAAGTGATAAGAGTAGGACCCAGGAGAGAGTCTCTGGATAGAAGGAGGGTGATCGGACTCCTGTGGCTGGGAACTGAGTCTGTGTTTTTTTTCTTCGAGTGCAGATCTGTCCCAGCAGGAAAGCTCGTCGCTCTCGGTGAGTTCTCCCCACCAGATTCCCCAGCAGCATCCTCCAGCCCTGGCCGTCCTGTCTGCCTCCTGGCTCAGCCCTTGCTCTGGCTCCAAGGGTGCCCCGACTCCCAATTAGGAGGCCAGTGAGCATCGCGTTTAAAAACATGTGCTTTTCCCTGGCTCAACTGCTAAGAGGGTCTTCCTGCACACCAAGAGGTTGTGGGTTCGCCCTGACCAGTGTGGCTCAGTGGATGGAGCGTCGGCCTGCGGACTGAAGGGTCCCAGGTTCGATTCCGGTCAGGGGCATGCACCTTGGTTGCGGGCACATCCCCAGTGGGAGGTGTGCAGGAGGCAGCTGATGGATGTTTCTCTCTCATCGATGTTTCTAACTCTCTCTTCCTCTCTGTAAAAAAATCAATAAAATATATTTTTAAATCAATAAAATCAATAAATATATATATATATTTTTAAAAGCAGTAAGTGCCCATCTCTTTTCCCCGAAGATGGAAGACCCCCAGGAGGGGCCGAGTGCTGATGGAAAAAGGAAGACACCGTCTGAGGCAGCGGCGGCAGCTTCCGTCCCGGCCGAGGAGCCCCCGGGAGCCTGTGACTGCGCCGCGGTGAACGTGTAGGAGGCCGGCCGGGCAGCCGGGGCCTGGAGGACTGCTCCCCGGGGAGGAGGGGCTGGGGGTCAGGCGGCTGAGACGACCGGACATACAGAAATCCTCGTCATTCTGTGTCCTCGGCCATAATCTATAGTAATAAAATTAAGTTTTTTGGTTTGTTGTTTTTGTGTGTGTGTGTGTGTTTTTTTAAAATATATGTTTCTATTTATTTGAGAGAGAGAGGAAGGGAGAGGGAGAAACATCCATCGGCGGCCTCCGCACGCCCCCTACTGGGGATCTAGCCCACATCCCCGGCATGAGCCCGGAACGGAACCTGCGACCTCTTGGACAAGGCTCCACCAGCTGAGCCACACTGACTTAGAAGTGAACTCTGCCTTCTGCCCCCCACCCCCTTCCCATCCCCCTTTCCATCCCCCCTCCACCCCCACCCCCCCACCCCCCGGAGAGGGAAAACGATAGCTAAGGCGGTTTCACCTGTTACGTTGCCACCAGGGGGATACCTGTTTCCACTTCCCCTGCTTCCTTGCCAACTCATAAGTTGTATTCAACTTCATCATTTGTTGTTGTTAATCCTCACACGAAGGTATCTTCCCCCCCCCGTTGATTGTCAGAGAGAGAGAGTAAAAGGGAGGAGGGGTGTAGAGAGAGTGAGAGAGAGAGAAACATTCATGTGAGAGAGACATGGATTGGTTGCCTCCCACATGCACCCAAGCCGGGAATGTGCCCTGGGTCGGAATCAAACTCAGGCCCCTTCAGTCCATGGGGGAAAACTCTATCCCCTGTGCCATACCAGCCAAGGGCTGTATGTTCATTCTTTTTGTACCTTTTACGTTTTATTTATTTTTAAATACATATTTTATTGATTTTTTTTTTTTTTTTTTACAGAGAGGAAGGGAGGGGGATAGAGAGTTAGAAACATCGATGAGAGAGTAACATCGATCAGCTGCCTCCCGCACACTCCCTACTGGGGATGTGCCCGCAACCGAGATACATGCCCTTGACCGGAAATGAACCTGGGACCCTTCAGTCCACAGGCCAACGCTCTATCCACCGAGCCACACCGGTTAGGGTTCTTTCTGTATCTCCGAGTAATTCATCCTTTATACTTGGAGGGAGCTCTCTGTGTCTTGAGTAGCTTTAGAGGAGAAATATATTCTTCTGTTTGTTCCTCTAAATCAGTGGTTCTCAGCCTTTCTAGAGCCGCGACCCTTTCATCCAGCTTCTCATGTTGTGATGACCCCCAACCATAACATTATTTTCGTTGTCACTTCATAACTGCCACGTTGCTGCTGTCAATGAATCGTGATGGAAATGCCTGTGTTTTCCGACGGTCTTAGGCTCTACAGCAGCAGTACTCAACCTGTGGATCGCGGCCCCGTTGGGGGTCGAACGACCCTTTCACAGGGGTCGCCTAAGACCATCGGGAAACACAGATATTCACATTACGATTCATAACAGTAGCAAAGAAGTGGAATATGCTGTCTGCTCAATCGCTATGATGTGCACTGGCCACCAGGGGGCAGACGCTCCGACCAGTAGGTTAACTTGCTGCGGGGGGTCCCCCATGATCGGGCCTGAGGCAAATGGGCCAGAAAGGACCTGGAGCCCTCCCTTGGTCCCTCCCCCAGCCAAATTCCTGCATCCCTAACTAGCCCTGATCAGGCACTGGTGGGGTCCCTCAGCCTGGCCTGCACCCTCTCCCAATCTGGGACCCCTAGGGGGAATGTCGGAGAGCCGGTTTCGGCCCCATCCCACAGGCCAGGCTGAAGGACCCCACTGGTGCACGAATGTGTGCACTGGGCCTCTAGTAAAATAATAACACACGCATATCCCAAAAAAGAACTGAGTCATGTAACCAAATTAAGGGGGAAAAAACAAGCTTAGAGACAGCCTCAGACCCCTGCCTCCTGCACTCAAACACCATTTAGCGTTTTCAATCTCTTGTCTCCAATTACTGGCGTTGTTATTGTTATGTAACCCAGCTGTGCCTCCGATCCTGCCTGCAGCTGGTCCTGACAATTCCAGACTTACCATCTTGCTGAGCGCTAAGGGCGACTTTTTACTTCCTGGATCCATTGAGGAAAAAACAATAGCTGCTATCTTTGAAGATGCTAGAAAGCCAACTCACGGAAGGTTTAAACAAAGAATCTCCCTCCCCCCCAAAAAAAAATAAATAAATAAATCCAGTGTCTCTCCTGCCTTTCATTTATAACCTGTGCAGCAGGACACCCAGATGGCTGAGGAGACTATCTGCTCCTACCATTACTACAACAAACCCACAAGAACAGCCCCATGCCCTGACCAGTGTTGCTCAGTGGTAGAGCGTCGGCCTGCGGACTCAAGGGTCCCAGGTTCGATTCCGGTCAAGGTCATGTACCTTGGTTGTGGGCACACCCCCAGTGGGGGGTGTGCAAGAGGCAGCTGATCGATGACTCTCTCTCATCGATGTTTCTAACTATCTCTCTATCCCTTCCTCTCTGTACAAAATCAATAAAATATATTTAAAACATCAATAAAATATATTTTAAAAAGTAATAAAAAGAACAGCCCCCAGGTCTTATCTTCAGCTAAAGCCTACCCACCTTATCCTGTGGAAGGCAACCAATTGATGTTTCTCTCTTTCTCTCTCTCTCTCTCTCTCTCTCTCTCTCTCTCTCTCTCTCTCTCTCTCTCTCTCCTCTCTCTCTCCCTCTTTCTCTTTCAATAAACATAGCCTACTCCAGAGAAATCGGAGAAGGGAAATCAGATGCTGTGAATCAAAGGAAATTATTATTATTTTTTAGTCTTACCAATAACAGAGACCAAGCCCATCTGAAACCCGGGCCTGCTGGTCCCCGGAGCAGAGCCGGGCGAATTTTTCCTGCAGAGGAGCAGAGAGGACCGCCTTCCCGCCTCTGTGGGCCTCAGGTTCTCCTCGCAGCTGCGGCTGCAGCGTGAACACAGCTGCAGCTGATGGGTGAACAAGTAGCTACGGCTGCGTTCTCATCAAACTTTATTTACAGACACAAGCGTTGGGCTGGCTGCATTCTTATAAAACTTTATTTACAGACACAAGCGGCGGGCCGGATTGGCCAGCCCCTGCCCCGGAACAGTGCTTTGTTGAAGTCTGCACGAATTGCCAGGATAAGAACTGACTTAGCCCTAGCCGCCAGGTGCCTCAATTGGTTATCACAATTGTCGGTAAACTCCTGAGTCCACAGAGCCAAATATCAACAGCACAACGTTCAAAATTTCTTCGGAGAGCCAACGTTTTTTAACGTGAACTTCTTCTGACGCCACTTCTTCAACACAGACTCGCCCAGGCCGTGGTATTTTGTGGAAGAGCCACACTCAAGGGGCCAAAGAGCCGCGTGTGGCTCACAAGCCGTGGTTTGCCGCCCACTAAAGTATTATAACGCCATCCTGATACACCAGTGCTGGGGGTTCTATCCCTCATTAGGGCACATACAAGAATCAACCAATGCCGAAACCGGTTTGGCTCAGTGGATAGAGCGTTGGTCTGCGGACTGAAGGGTTCCAGGTTCGATTCCAGACAAGGGCATGTACCTTGGTTGTGGGCACATCCCCGGTGGAGGTGTGCAGGAGGCAGCCGATCGATGCTTCCCTCTCATCGATGTTTCTGGCTCTCTATCCCTCTCCCTTCCTCTCTGTAAAAAATCAAATATATATATATATATATATATATATATATATATATATATATATATATATATGAATTTATTATTTTTTTTAATAACTTCAAAAGAGTGACCTTGGAGTGCGAAGCCCCAAATACAGGGTCCCTCTCTGAGCGTGAGGTCCCGTGTGCCCTGGGTGGGGGTGCCCAGGGACCCGGGGTGCTGGCACCCACTTCATCCAGAAGTTCCCAGGAATGGCACCACCTCTGGGGGGAGCATCCCCGCCTCACCAGCCCCGGTGGGCAAGGTCACCTCGGGGCGGGAGCAGCGACGCGGGGGGGAGTAGCTCTCTGCTCCTCCCACCACGGAAGTCGTTCTCCCCGGCGGGCGCGTGGGAGCTCCGGGGACCATCTGGCTCCGCGCGTGGAGGAAGCGGTTCTTCCTGAGAGGCGCGGAGATGACTCAGGCGGCATCCGGGAAGCGGGACCAGGGACAGCGCTGACAGCTGCTGCTGCTTCTTTTAATTTTCTCTTCTTGCTTCTAATTGCTTCCAAAACCCAGCCTCCCTTCCCTCCTTGCAGCTTTCTTGAGCCATCATTCCTGGCACCAGCTAGTCTGACAAGGGATTTTGTTTCTTTTTTTTATTTTTTATTTTTAAAATATCTTTTTATTGATTTCAGAGAGGAAGGGAGAGGGAGAGAGAGAGATTGAAACATTCATGATAAAAATCACTGATCAGCTGCCTCCTTGCATGCCCTTGTTTCTTTTTTAAAAAATATTTTTATTTACTTTAGAGAGGAAGGAAGAGATAGAAACATCCACGATGAGAGAGAATCATGGATCAGCTGCCTCCTGCACGCCCCCATCTTGGGACCAAGCCCGCAACTCCGGCATGTGCCCTTGACTGGAATCGAACCCGGGACCCTTCAGTCTGAAGGCTGATGCTCTATCCGCTGAGCAAAACCAGCCAGGGTGGAATGTTGGTTCTTATCACACTGGTCTGACACGTTTCTGATGACTCAAATGGATGATTCCAGCCTGGCCAGTGTGGCTCCGTGGTGGAGTGTCGACCTACGAACCAGGAAGTCACCATTCGATTCCCGATCGGGCAAAGGACCGGGTTGTGGGCTTGATCCCCAGTGAGTGGCGGGCAGGAGGCAGCCGTCCACGATTCTCTCTCCTGGTGGATGTTTCTATCTCTCCCTCTCCTCTCCTCTTGAAATGAATAAAAGTATATATTCAAAAAAAATAAAATAGATGACTCTAATCAAAATTATTTATGGCTTGGCTCAGTGGATAGAGCGTTAGCCTGAGGATTGAAGGGTCCCAGGTTCAGTTCCGGCCAAAGGCACATGCCTGGGTTGATCCCCAATAGGGAATGTGCAGGAG